TTCAGGAACCTTGTGCCCCACATTCATTCATTCTTTTTCGCTTTTTGAGCATTGAGGGCGTTGAGAAAAAAGGCATCTCGTCATCAGGGCCTGTTTGCCAAGCAGGGGACACCTTACAAGTCTATAAAACAAGGCGATGGGATGGATAAGACCATCCCATCCTTCCCCCCCCACGTCTGTATCACCACCGACCACCCCTGTTTGTCCCATTTATCCCTTTTGTTGTACTTTTTCAACCTGCCTGCCTGTTTGTCTGTCAGTCTGTGACCCATGGCATGTTTTCTAATGCGTGGCCGCACAGAGAGCAAAAAAAAAAAAAAAGGACGCAGGAAGGGGCGCGTGCCTTCATACACTGACTCTCCAGCCCATTTTTGCATCATTTGCAATTGCATTGCCATTGCCATTTTGTCTGTCAAATCTATCCATGTTGGCAAAAAATAATACAACTATGGCGCGATAGCATGCACAAGAAGAAAGGGAGGAAAGGGGGAGGGAGGGAGGGAGGGAAGGAGGGGGAGTGGAAGAGCCGACCGTGCAGACGGATGTCTTTTTTTTATTCTTGGAGAAAAAAAAATAAACCAAGGGTCATGGGCCATGGGGGATAGGTATGGCACGGGCATAGTTCTGAGTGTGAGCCTGAGCCTGAGCATGAGCAAGAACCATGAGCCATGAGCTATGGGTTTATAGGATGGATGAGCTTCGTTGGAAATGCTGCATGGTAGTGGTGTTCTGCTCAGTTGCATGACAGGCAGGTTTAAAAACAATATTCAAGCGTACACAGACACACACCCAGACACATACACATTCACACTCACACACTTACACTTACACACTCACACTTACACTTACACACTCACACTCACCCTCTCCATTTTGGACGCATGGTGGGAAGCTCTGCCTAAAAAAAGGAAGTTGCTCCAAACTAGCTTCAATTGAAGCTGGCCAATGACGCGCTTGCACAAAGGCAAGGCAAACAGAAGCAATATGGCGTCAAAGACGACCTTGACGGACCGGGTTGCGTTCGGTTTGGTTCGTCGGAGGTATTTCTTTGTTGGCACTAAGACATATTAAGGCTCCTTTTGAATGTGAACCGGCTCTAGCGTGGAATTGTCTTCTTTATTACAGTAGTAAACTCTGCCTTTGTACATCTCAGTGGATCTCGTCGTATGCCTCCATGCGGAAGTCGTCTAGCATTCGATGGTGGAAAAAGAAAAAGACGGGGATCTGCGTTAATTCGACAGTCATTGTTTGTCGCGTGAGATAAAACAAAAGGCTAAAACAGCAACATCCCCTTTCCTCCTTTCCTCCTTTCCTTTCTCTTTCCCTCTTTCCTCCATCCACGTTGGTCGCACACATGGTCTATTTTCCTTTTATTGTTGTGGCCAGTCGTCCACATTTAGCGCCATTTTTGCGAACAAGGCATTGGAGGCAGGGTGGAGCCAAGAAAAGTGACCACCCCGTACTCGCTTTCTTTTTTTCGTATCCCGACGACCAGCTCAATTGACCATTCAGGCACAAACACACACACACACACAACACGTGAAGTACACGACATAGGCTATCTACAACTCACCCTCAATACTACGGGTCCATTTCCGACGTTGCTCTTGACGCATCCTCCGTTGATATGCCACGGCTCCGAAATAAATAATAATCAAAATCACTACCACAGGCAATATGACATGCCAAGCTGAGAACCCGCTGTCATCCTCCTCAAACGCGCGCACAGCGGCTTCCTCACGATGTAGCAACTGGCATGTCGTATTAACACTCTTGTCGCCGTCCAGATACTCACACCGCATCTCGGTCGTGTTTGCCGTTGGGATTGGGTTGTTGAATTCATCCAGTCCAAGTGCAAGGGCATTGCATTGCCATGACGACGTGCAGCTTTCGTTCAGGGCGGGGCGGGGTTGACATATACCCATCGTACACGTCAGACTGGGGTCACAGTTGGAAAAATGTGTGTACCAATTGGTTGTCGACTTGTCAAACCGCGAGAGCAACAGGTCTTTAGGCAGGGTATCACGGATCAAGTCATAAACAAGTAGCGCCAGTCCTGGTTTGTCGCCGCTGGCGGGCATCTGGAACAGTGTACAGTTGTCGTTGAGTTGTGAGTAAGGGCCCGACCAGCTGGGGACAGAGGGTATCTTACTTGCGTTCCTGGAGAGAATGTAACCCCAGTTTTGGGTCTTGGGGAGACAGACCAGTCCATCGCTCAGGACAAAACATTCTTCGCTTACGGAGCAAAAGGGCTCTGTGAGACAGTTGTTTGTCCCTGGTGGTAATGGGTTGATGGCCGGACCTGGAGCACGCTCAGGAATAGGAGTAGAAGAAGGAATGGCTGGTATTGTCACATTGATACTTGGTTGGGCAGACGGTCTTGACGGGGCAGCTCCAGAAGAGGTTGAAGGAGTAGCTGGCGGTGTTCCTGTTCCTATTCCAGGAAGTAAGGGCTTCTGAGGCTTTGCATCTGCTGAGTTTGTTCCTGATCCCGGTGATCCTGGCTCATGTCCTGCTGATGCTGTCGGTGCTAGTGGTGACAGAGGAGAAGACGATGGTGATGGAAGCGCCTGAGCTGAAACCTGCGGAGATAGCGACTGTGCCATGATGTGTACCGGTTCTTGTGGAGTAGCCGCTGTTGTGTCCTGAGGTTTCGAAGGAGCTTGCGCAACAGTTGAGTCTTGGACGCCGGTGAGGGAGACAAGAGAATCTAGTGCGTCCATGGAGGTTATGTGGTGAAAAGAATAAAATCAGAGAAGAAAAGGAAAGAAGATAAAGGTTTTCTAGTAGAAGATCTCGGAGTCTTCATAAGATTGTGTTGGTTAAAAAAGTGAGACGGGTGGGTTAGTGAAGAGTGACAATGATAAGGGGGAAAAACAAGCGCGAGGGCGAGGGGTGCTGAAGGATGTGGCAAAGAGAAACAACCAAAGCGAAGCAATAAAAAATAATGCGATCAAAGGAACGAGCATGTCAATGGGAAAAGGATCAAATTGGAATATCTTTTTAAACAGACGACAATCCTCCTTTTTTCGCGATGGTTGTTTGGTCAGAATGGGAATGAGGAACGGCGTGCACAAGGGAGGTGAAAAGCATCTACTGAACCCTTCTCAAGAGGGAGGAGAAAACCACCACACCCTGTCAAGCATTCAACGCGACACCCAACCAAAATCGACCGTGGTGCCAAAAAAAATTGGTAGTGAAAAATAAAGAGAGACGCGTTTTTTTCCTTCGATCGCATATGGTCTTTCATACAAACATGAGTCAGACCACATTCGTTTCCTTGATGCCAACACTCCTACTATCCCCTTCCCTGTTCTGCACCCAGAATTTGGGTGCAATTCTGGTCCAAAGCGCCTGTATTTTTTCTTTCAGTTGCGATCAGGGGCCTGAACTGGAGTTGTTTTTGGTCAGATCTTGTCAATTACGAGTATATTATTATATAAAATGCCTGTAATTGACGAGAGCCAATAAGAACTGGACCAAAAAATCACATAGAACTAACATCAAGTCTGGCCTCTTGTGGACAAGGAAAGGGATAGTAACTTGAGGAGCATTGCCTTCAAATAATTTCTTCTTTGCCACTTAATATTTTTTTTTGCGTCGCGTTCATTGACGAAATTTGATCCACATTCGCCGATACAAGAGACGTTCGATTACTACATACATTCACTTACGACAGCTCACCCATTCTTTTCGCTTCTTTTTTCTACACAATTTAATTTCTCTAATAAACAGCCTAAGGCAGACATTCGCTAGTATTAGGGGAGCTACATAGCGAACTCTTCCAATGCCCATCCATCTGTCACAGTACAGTGCCGTACCTGGTTCTGCGCAAGCATTGTAGCCAGTCATCATGACATTAAAATCATATACGGATAAAGGGGGTTCTTCCCTTCTTCTCCATCAAAGACAGTCTCCTCCTCTCCAACAAACTCTCTAACAAACGCATATCGGTGGCGCGGGAATCCAGGGATGTTCCAGGACAGTGACCATCCTCATATGTGGCTAGCGAATCGCCACACGGACAAAACCCATTGCGGGTGATATGGCCTTAGCCGCGAGTCCAATCACCTCAGGAACCAGTATCCTTTCGATGGTCAGGCTTTTTTTTTCCTCTGTTCTTTTATGAAGGTTACGTTTGAACCCTCCTTGTAACAAGGTTGACTTTATTCTTTAGCCCTTTCTAAACGCACAAAAGAGGGAAGAGAATAACGAATCTGCCCATGTTATTATTTTCTGTGATACGACATCATCGTCGAGACTTGAGTGTCGAGCATCCCCTTTGTTGGGTCAGTTTCAAAGTGACATTTGCTTCATGGAATGGTGAGCTCATGGAACATAAGGTGGACGTAGTTGTTCCAAAGACCCCTCTTTTTCATGTTTGCTTTGGGGGGGGGGTGTCTGGTTACTCAATTTTGTACAAATTTGTAGGGAAAACTGATGACGAACAAAATGCTAAGGACATTTTTGTCCCTAAAACCATCGAAGGGATACATGGTGGTTTTGGCCTTGGCAAAGATTGCATGGGAGCAGGCAAAATGCTCAGCGGAGGCCTGTGCCCCCAGGAAACCATCAAACTTGTGACCTTCCTTCAACCTTTCTTAATATAACCTCCACAAAAGATAATTACAATATTACCTTCCATTTAAAAAGGTTAACAATTTATGTTTACTACTAAAAAGTCCGCAAAAACAATTCTTCGCGTCGCGGGAAGTATGGCGGAGTTGGTCTAACGCGCCGCCCTTAAGATGCGGTGTTCCTACGAACTCGTGGGTTCAAATCCCACTGCTTCCACTTTTTTGGACATATGGATGGGCGATTCTTTTGTTTTGTTCTTTGAGTGGGCACATCAGCCAGGGGTAGAGGTGTTTGTCAAGTGGGTGTGTATTCTTTTCCCATTAGTTTTGTTTGTCACTGCTGTTGTCATCATAGGTGGGAGCGAGGTTGGTGAGAGGAAAGCGGATCAGAAATGAACGAGTGCTAGAAAAACACTCCCTTGATCAGGAATCTCGTTTGGACTGTCTTGTCATGAAAGTGAAGACTGGCAGGAAAGGTCTGTCATTCAACAAGAGTATACTTGACGGAACTGTTCAATTGTTGTTTGTCGGTGTTAGTGCGTAAGGTAGCTTTTGAGTGTTAAAAGGAGAGTGCCAAACGAGTTGAGAGAAAAGGACGGAAAAAAAGGAGAAGAGAAAAAACTATCGGATCGCAAATTGTCATGCTTTATATTTTCGTCTTATCTGCGATTGCGAACGCCGCTCAATGCTAAAGGTCACTACGCCTTGAGAGGACCCTCTGGCAATCCAAACTCGTCCAAGCGCTAAAGAAAAAATAACGGAACAAACATGTCAGTTCACGCATATCTGTAACAATTGAATTCCGTGCATAACATGCAAATGTAGCCCTGTGTGTCTTTGTTTACCTCGGCCTGGGGCTCTGTCGTCTCTGCGGTGGGGAGGTCAAGGGTCTCGTCCTCCAAGTACGAAGGCTCTTCCTCTTCGTACAATTCGTCACCCAGAGCGTCCAATTCTGCCTCCAATTCGTCCTCGTCGATATCGTCAGGTACTCCATACGACCGGCCTAGTGTCTCCTGAATCTCGTTTGCCTGGTCCATAATATCTTCCATCTCGTCTTGCATTTGCTAAGTGAGGAAAACATGACAAAAGACAGCAAATCATAGGAGGATGAGTGGCCACGTAATTGAATCAAATTATCATCTGCCAAGATGGATAACTCCACTACACAAACAACAACGACGTTAGTTCCTACCTCAATCTTGTCAAGATTGACCTTCTTGTACTGCTGCTTCATCGTCTGGTTGGCGGTCTTCATGGCATCAACGGTCGTCATGACGTTCTTCAAGTTCTCTGTCGTGAACGCTGCCTGCTCCATGTTGAATGACTGTTGTTGAAGCTGTTCCCGTTGACTCTCATAGAGTTTTCTTTCCTTCAAAATCCTCATTGCCTTTGTCTTCACCGAGTTCTAAATAAAGAAATAAAGATACCATTAGCGTTGGTGTTCAAAGCGGTCTTGGGTGAGGGAGAGTCATCATGACGAAGGGTAAAGTACGGCGAAGTTGGGAAGGGGAGGATACAACTCGTCTTCTTTGTTAATTGTTACCTTTGCAGGACCGTCGCGCATCTTCTTCATTTGATCCTTGTATTTGATGAGTTCTGCATCCAGTTTGCGGATCTTGACCTCAACGGCGTCAACTCTCATATCGGTCTACGGTATTCGGTATCGCCAAAAAACCGACAGGACGAGAAAAGCAGCAAAAAGACGTGGAAGACGGAAGGTAAGAACTCTGTACGTACATGTTTCTTCAGTCCATTATCAGCCCAACGTCTAAGAGCAAAGGCTGAAAATAACGCCAAGCGGGTTCATGAACATGACATGTTGGCTGTGAGCCCTGCTGCGTTCTTGTCATCCTGCGTTGCATGTTCTCCAGACCGTCCTTTGCTTGAGTGGCATTGAATGAAACACTTACAGCCGTGATGGCATCTGTGAGACTGGGCTTTGGTGTTTTCTTGTTGGAGCCGAAAAGTCGATTCATGGCGTTGCGTGTTGTGTTTCCTGAAGGGTTGTCGTGATGAATAAAAAGAAGAAAACAGAAGAGCGAAAGAGAAAAGTTCGACTCTTCCCAAGACACCTGTCAGGCACGAACTCGTGCCGCAAACAGTCACTGCCCTGCTCTTGGCATTCCAAAGGTATGAAAAAAGGAAGCTTTATTCGTTGAAAAAGCAATGGAAAAAATGCAAAGGGAGACCTTGTGTCGCTCCTTAACTTCGACCAGGCAGGCATGTTAGGCAGAAATGGTGTTGTCATAATCAATTGTAGGCACCACCGAAGACATGAACTTCAAGAAAATGATGAGGTACCTAAGAAGAATAGTAACAAGAGAATCTTGGTTTAATGATCTCTTTCCATGCGAATTGAAGATATGATGACATAGAAACACATGAACAGCAAGATGAGAATACAACGTACTGGTCAACTCTGACGGGCTCTTCCTTGCCCTCGTCGTTCGCCACCTTCTCAATAATCTTCTTCATGACGGCTCCGTGCCGGCAAGGGTGGATGCTGGCGAGCGACATGTTGAGGTGTGGGTGGCTCTCGATGGTGACAGTCTTCTTGGCGTAGTCCTGAGAGACATCCTCGAAGATTTGGGACGACACAAGGGGTCGTCGGTGCTGAAAGGGAAAGAGGGCAAAATGTGTCAGAAAGGATTTGATAAACATAGACACACCGAACGCAGAACCAAACTAGGATAGTCAATGACATTGATGGGTTTGGTCGTACCTCGTCATATCCAAAGAGCCACATTCTCGGGGTTTGGTAGTACTTGTCGTAGGTAATAAACACATCGTAGGTGCGCACACTCAAGATCTTGTCACTATGGATTTGAACATGTGGTCGTTGACAAGTTAGCTTTCTATCACTGTTAAACATGTTGCCAGGTTTGCTCTGGCGATTCTGCGGTGCAACCTACCCAGGGTCGACGGCCGTAGGAGCTGCGGGTGCAAGGGTTGCCTAAGATTGTCAATTGAACGCAAAGAAGCGCAGAAAACACCTGTCAGCGCAGCACACCAAGCAAGTTTGTAATGACATGCGATCAGTCTGTCAGTAAGTCCTGGTGACTTACAGGGTCAGCCTCCTCCTCCATGTCGTCATAGTCGTCCATGTCTGGGATGTCATCCATATCAGGGATATCGTCGTCGTCCTCCTCCTCTGCGGCAGCCTGCAATTGATCCTGCAGCTTCATGCGCTCCATGGCTCTGATGGCGGCTTGGGCCTCGGCTTCGGCCTCTGCTTCGTCGTCTTCGTCCTCGTCCATGCTTCCTGCAATTTCCTCGATTGGTCCACCCGCGACACGAGAACTGTGGGACATAACCCATGAATCTCCACCGTCCGCCTCGATGTGGGTTTCTGCATCTTCATCCGTGTACTCCATTTGCTTGACACGACGCAAGCAAGGTACTGTGCAAGGTGGAAGGGCAAGGGATGGTTACCAAACGATTAATAAAAGGCTCCTTGAAATTCTGTCTCCCTGCGGAAAAAAAGGTCACGAGTCCAAGGCCCACTTATCAGGTCATACTCCCTCCCACGAAGGGGATAGAGATGAGATGGGGAGCCTGAGGGCTGAATGTATGGCCCTCTTCAGTAACAGCAATAACAACACTGGCAAAATGCACAAGGCAGCAGCATACCGTTGCGGGTGATCAAGAATTGCTTGTCGGCAAGCAAATAGTCACGGCGTTTGCTGGGTTCACCGCCCTCCCTACGTTCACAAAAAAAAAGAGTTCAAAGAGACTGGTCAAACGTCGTGCTTCTTCCGCCTCAATGGTTGCCTGGAGCTTTCGCACGACAAAAAACGACCGAAGACAGTAAAAGTTTGCGCAGGCTTTACCAGCTCCATGTAGGGCATTTGTAGACCAAGAAGTCTCCAGCTGCCTCAAACTAGGAGGTTGAGAAGGAACAGACGTAGCCGCGGTTAGTCATTTGTGCGCCATCAAGTAAGAGCTTTTTTCGCCTGAGGACGAATGACGCAAGCTGCTGAGAAGTGCATGTAGACAGTATGTTGAGAAAGACAATCAAGTGTTGGTAGTGGTGGCGAGAGACGGGTGCCTGCCTTGTCGTTGGTCCATTCCGCCAACCATGGCCATGCACTGCGAGAGACTGTGTGGAAGCAGGGAAATGGGGACTTGCCTCCTCGGGAGTGATGCATCCGGTCTCCTTGAATTTTGAGTTTTTAAGGACAGGACTCAGGTACTCGCGAATGCCAAAGAAAATATTTTGTACGGAGTTCATCTGTTGTCGGGGTGAAGAAGAAGAAGAAGGAGAAGAAGGACGATTGTGTTTATGGTAAAAGAGAATGTGTATGTGGGTGAGAGTGAGAGTGATGAAAGTTAAAGAAGGTCGAAAAAAGAGAACGCGACCACTGGACTGGCTTTTTCGAGGGAAAAATGGGTGGCGCAAAATATTGCATGGGTCTTGCACATGCTTTTTTATATGCTTTTACTAGTAGTCTTCAAGTCATTCATGGCAACATGGACTGAGGAAGCGACTCTGGAAGGGCCTGCTCGCCTCCGCTTTCAACTGCCCGGATCAAATGCATGGCCACTGCAAACTCATCCTCACTCAGATAGCCATCGCAGGTCCAGTCTGCTAATGTCCAAATCCTTGCCAGCAACTCAACCGACAAACCAGTGCTCATCAGATATGGTTTCGCAGTCGATCCGTTAATCTTACCCTCAATCGGGTTGAGCGACAAGAAAATGGGCTGTGACGACGCCTTGTCGACAGAGGAAAAGTGCCAGTAGCTAGGAGGGATGTCACCTTTTGAGTTGGAGTTCAGAACATTGAAGACCTCCGGTGGTCCAAGGAATGGGTTCTTCTGGCTCAACTCCAATAGAGGATTGTATTGTGGGAACCGACGCATGATCTTGGGGAGGTCGTGTGACAGAGCTTCCTCGGCAACCGACAGGATGGGCTGGCTGATCCTGGCAAAGTTTTCAAACCGGTAGGCTTCAAGTGACTGTCTGAACGCGGTAACATTGGGAAAGTCGCCAGCCGGGACACTGTAGAGCTGCTGCACCTTCAGGAACTCCGTTTGCATGTTGGCGATGAGCTCACGCTGGCGCGATTTCTTGCCAAAAACGGCCGGCATCTCCTTGCGCAAGTGTCCAATAATATATGCATGCACCCTTGCCAATCGTGCGCGCTTCACAATCTCGTTGACCTTGCGGATAGCGGCGTTTCTTGGTAGATCCCGCAAGTCCTTGAGTAGATCCGCC